ATTGAAACTAATGATCTAAAGGAGGATGGAGAATGAATGTATTTGTTCCACTAAATCCGGTTTTAAACTATGTTATCTAGTCACTCACCAACTAGTAATTGAGTGGAGCCCAACTAGGTAGTGAGGATGTACCAGCACACTTCAGTCTAACAGTGAATGATTCCATGGACTGATGCTAGCTTTTGGTTTATCTGCCCCTATTTTTTGCAAACTACACCTACTACAGTAAATATTACTCATCGAGGGAGATAGTGGGGGGCATACGACGTGACATGTGTCTCAACCGGCTCGGTTCATAAAGATTCCCGTTCCCATCAACCGACATGTCATTTTTGTTTAGTACTTATGCCTAAACTCAAAACCGTTCACTCAATCGTTCCACAATATTCGAGCAATTTTTGAAGATACCTATGATCAAAATCTTTAAAGTATCGATGCCAAACGTGACTTTAGCTTGACAGTAATATGGACGGATGAGTTTTCAAAGCATTTTTAAGATGGAGAAGGCATGTCATAACTATGTAAACAAAATAGATGATTTATATGCACTGAAAATACGAGACTTTAGAATAGAGATATAAATACATTTGCAACAACAAGGAACACGAGATCTCATTACTATTCTATTTGCTTGCATGTATCTCTCTTTTGAATGTGAATAAAATTGAGTTTTAATTTGAAATCAACAGAATAATTGGAAATTAAACGTGATTACTATTCAAAATCTAGCCAAGATAATCACACAAACGACAGAAAACATAAATACACACATGTGTAGACATCGGGTTTTAAAAAAGTCATCATACCCATTGGTGATATTGCTTTAAATTGTAATCGTTGCAGCGCCTCATCCGTATCATAATCACAACGCATTAACAAGAATAAAGCCTAAAAATAAAATAATGGTAAATAATAAAATAGAAAGATAAATATGTGGTTGAAATCGTGTTTGAGTCGTTAAGATAACAAGCTAAGACTGTAGACCTTATTGGTTATTCCTGCGGTTAAACAAGTGTACTGATGAGATATAAAACTTAACACTAAATGAACGATAAAACATCTGGTATATGCATTCCGAGTGAGTATAAAGTAAAACGGACATTCTAATTTAATGAATTAAACTTAAATTGCCTATAGTATTTTCGAGAAATCAGTGTATTTCAGCATTACTACTTTACTTATTAACGAGTAGTCAAGGTGGAAAAATGTGAACTTAGAGCATAACTTTAAACATAAAGACCGAAGTTACCTCTTCGTCGTCTATTGTTCGTTCAGTAGGCAGTGTTGACAAAACAACTTGGGCATATGATCTCTCAAAGCGTGTGACATCAGCTTCACAGAGCTTTTCCGAAGGTTTCCATACAAGACTAGATTCTTGAAAAATCCGTTCAGAACCATAATACGATGATCGACTTTCATCACACTGATTCTCCATTACATTTGATGCTAGGGCAAGCATAGGGATATTTGCCTGATAATCTTCACCAATTTTTATCTCCTATTTAACATGTTGGAAATGTGAAAAGAGAAAATAGAGTTTCAGAAAATAAGTAATTTAAGTACATAGTATGAAGTTCGTACTGTTGGTCAATGAATTATAAATATTAGCATGATGGGATTATGGAGAATGCTAAACTTTTAGTTTACATCATGGGTTTTTCATTGTTAGAGAACCAATGAAAACCAGGAAGTATTGTACGTAAATTTTATCTTAATATAGGACTCCTCAGCACTGAGCACCCGCGACTCCACAACATGGATCGAATTCGAGATTTCTCGTCTAGCGGTGTGGTGCTTTATACTACGACGAAGCAGTTGTCTAGTGCTTTGTTGTTTTTAGTGGCTCTCTAAGATCAGTTCGCGATGTAAACCATAAAGATAAAACATATGTCGTCTGTATTTATGATTCCCATAAAAGATTAGATTTCCTATAATTGCAAACACGAAACATATTCTTGTGTAGTTTTCCGTTACGATGTGAAGTCACTTAATGTAGTGGTTATGAGAAACGATATAAAATTCGAGCCACCATCTGTTGATATTTCCTGGAAATATTGATCGAGACATATGTGTAGGTAATTAAGGAATTACTAAAAGATGATTCAAAACTTTAGGCAGTGAGGGTGGTGCATAAGCTTAACTTTTTCTTTTATTTCAATAGTTAAGATGAGAAATCTGAGATATCGTTTTACCCTCAATCGTATGATTGTTCCTGCCATTAATATAATATTTTCTTAAAAGCTGTATCACTTTGTTTTGATAAACTGCTTTGAAAGCAGATATGAAATATCTGCAGACAGTATCAAGCCGAGTTTTAAATCTTGCACAAACTTAAAGTGATCAATTATTGTTGGGGTTCGAACAGTGGAGTCCAGGTTTTAGAGATTTATCCTCTTCATAACATATGACACGCTGCACAACGCAGTTTGATTCCGTTTTAAACCATAGCTGAACATGAGCTGGACTAAATTAATTCGTTTCAGGCTTTTAGATCTATCCTCCAGATATTTAGACTAAAGACAAGTGTCTAGCAAGTATTACAAAGCTCACTAAACAGGTGTACTTGGTGTCAGACACATAGGCATTATCATTGGTTAAATTTGTGGAATGATCCCAGTGTTTAAATAAGCACTACATATGAGACAAAGTCAGTTTCACAGTAAAGAATGCTATGATACAGCCTTGTTAATTTTATCTTGTCGTGCTGATATTGTAAGACGACTACGGCTAACGCATACATGTGCGAGGCTTTACATCGACTGTCACTGATAGCAGTGACAGCCCAAAAGACAAGACAACTACTACACCAAAAGGAAATCTACAAATTCAGTAAATGTGCTAAATTAATAAAATAAAGTAATTTTGATATGACTTATTGGAGAAAAAACCTGAAGTTGAGAATTTAACATTACAGAGATCGAGAAATTTAAATTCATGGTGATAGTGGTGAGGTATTTTAAACATAGAAACTACTAACATATTTAAAATTCTTTTATCCACAACAAATCAATTAATACAAGTTAATATATGATAAAGAAAGAATTGAATTTACCAGTTACCCCAAAAATACGTATTTGAGTTATATACCAGGATGAAATAGCTGTTTAATACTCCATATTTTAGTGGTTATTAAGTTAAAGTCAGTTTGTGAATTTAACTACAAATTATTTATTATCAACAAACCTGTAAAACTAACTTGAAATTTGTGTATTATGGCTATACTAATTATAAGTTACTAGAATTTATTTTCTTGTACTTTAATGGTTGATGTTCAACTGCTTTCTTATTGATTGACACAAAATTTATTTATTTAACCATATTAAACCGGTCATTTCGTGCTTGCAAGTATTAAGGTGTCTGCTGTTGTTAATTTCGCTACAGTGATTGGTACTGAACAATTATTGATGGTAACAGACATGTATTATGTCAAGAGACGTTCTCACTAAATCTCCCACTGGGTTATTGGGTATTAACGGTCACAAAAATACTGGGACACAAGAAATGCACTGAAAAAAACCTACACCTTTCCAATCACGACCACTATCTTCACTTGGACAGTAGTCTTCGTCTTCGTCTGAATTGTACGAAGGTGTAGTTTCTTGACCTTTTTAGAATGAAAAGAAAGCAAAACTTGTCAGGAGACATAAACTAGGTTTGCTATGCATTATCACTAGACAAAAGACTGTACCTGTCCTATCTTCAAGGAAATAACAAATACTAATGAAAGAAAGGGTTCTCGTTTATATTACAACAGAGCATTGCAAAGATGAAAACAAATGTAAAAAGATCAGTACAAATACAACGCTAAGTTCTATTTCAGAACAGAATGAACACACTTTTGTTGTAATGGTGCAGAGGCAAATTGTTTGGTAAGAATTAGTCAGCCATAAGAAATTCACAAAGAAACGGGATGATATGACACGCAAAATAAACGTACCTATGCCTGTTACTCTTCTTGGAGCATAGGCCGACGACCAAGATTCTCCAACCTAATATGTCCCGGGCTCTCTTTTCCAGTTATTCGAAAATGCTGTTTGTTCTGGTAATGTCTGTCTTTGATTCCCGGTGCAGCGTGTTATTTAGTCTGCTTCTTTTCGTTTTCTCCTCAAAATTGCAAGTCAGCGCTTGCTTTATGATGCAGATCGATGACGTCCGCAACGCATGTCCTACCCACCACCAGTATTTCCCTAACTTCCTCTTCAGTTGGAAGATGGTTTGTCCTCTCCCACAGGTTATTGCTGATGGTGTCTGGCCAATTGATTTCAAGTATCTTGTCTGGACAATTGTTTATAAATACGTGTACATCTTTGATTATGGTTGTAGTAGTTCTTCACGTTTCAGTTCCGTACAATAAAACTGTCTTGACGTTCGTATTGAAGATTCTCACTTTGAGGTTGGTTGACAACTGTCTTGAGTTCCATATGTTTTTTAACTGTAGGAATGCCAATCTTTGCATGTGCGTCTGCATTGGACCCCCTTTGTTCATCGATGATGATGTTCAAGTATGTGAAAATTCCCACCTCTTCCACAGCTTATTTATCAAGTACGATTTCGTTGGTGCTCACTGTGTTGTATTTCAGGGTTTTGCATGTTCCCTTGTGTATGCTGAGGTCTACCGCTTTAGAGGCTGCTGCTGATATGTTGTCTGATCCAGCTGCTTCCCATCTCTTGATTTTTCCGATACTCCTGCTGATTTATTCAATTTTTGGTGAGGTAACAGGAGGTCTGTATGTGCTGATTTGATGTCCGGTGGGTTTAATGAGGGTCGCTCTATTCAAGAGTTCTTCGAAGTGCTCTAACTACCTGTTCCGCTGTTCTTGAATCGCAGTGATTGGTTTGCCTTTTTGTATCCCACTGGTCGCCCTGACTTACTGTTTTCTCGTCAGATTCTTCGCCGTATCTTACAATTATCTCCTACCTCCCTTTCTTGAAGCTTTTTCCGTTGTCATTGCTAGGTTTCCAATGTATTTCCGCTTATCAGCTCTAATGCTTTTCTTCACCTGCTTCGGTTTGGGCACCCGGACAGTATCACAGCCCTTACACAAATCAAATGAGATATGTGTGGCGCATATGTATTTCGTGCCTCCTTGTACCAATATCTATGTGTTAAAATAAATAAATAAATAAAAATGCTTCTCTTCACTCCTTTGTTTGCTTCTGTGTATTCGGCCTGTGCCTTGACTTTCTCTGCTCTTGTTCGGCTGTTGTCGATTGCTGCCTTTTTGTTCTTCTTTTCTCGAATCTTTTCCAAGATATTAACAGAGATTCATTGTTCATGATGGTGCTTCTTGAGGCCTAGGACGTCCTCTTTAATCTCATCCCAGTTGTTCTCCAGTGTGGTTTCCTCTTTTTTAGTAGATCTTTTAAAGGTTGGGATATATTGCTGTGAGCAATTTTACATTCGCTGAGTTGGTTAGCACCTCGAAGGAAGGCTATATTGAACTTTTGTGATTTTACTTGTCCAGTTTCCCAATTCTTTTTTTATTTCATTTCTAGCTTGACCACCATCAAATAGGGTCTGAAACTATATCAGCCCCTCAACAGTCTAATTTTGTGATTACTTATCTATTGACATTGTATCATTGTATATCTTCTAGATCCATCGTTTTAATAAACTAAGACGTGTTCAACATCATTAACCTTAAAATAATTTCCCAGGTTGATCTTAGCCAGATCACGATTGAAAACCTGGAAGCACCGGACGATTGTTTCGTCCTAGTATGAGACGCCTCAGCAGTGCGTATCAACGATCCTGTACACCAGACTCAAACCCAAGTCAATGTGGCAAGCTGCATTCATTCACCTTCATCTAAATCTTCAGTATCATTTCTAAATTTCTATTCTTCTATCTCATTTGTTCTTTACGATACAGCGAAAATTCCCATTTAGACATTGAAGAAAAAGACGAATAGAGCGAAGTGATATTTCTTTTCAATTAATTTCTTATAATGGCCCTACAATAATACGTATATGACTCAGAAATAATAAAAAATACTAGCCAGGTGTTAGCGGGACATAGACTAGATTAAAGCATGCTCAATTCACGATTGCTTTGGTGCACGCTGATTGGCTAATTCTTAACCAATCAGCACTAGTCGATAGTTGGAGAACACTCTAGAATCTTCTCATGTAGAAAACTATAAATATACTGACGTTTTTCTCTATTGTGCTTCTGACTTGCTATTTGGAATATAAGCTCTTTCCTGTTCAACCGTGTTTTGATTTGGGGACTTGTCGAGTGAATCGGTGTCCGAGAATACTAAGCAATAGGAATAGCTGGGTCATAACCGTAAGAAGAAAGAGATTATAACAGTGGCGACGGGGAAAAAGGAAAACAAATTCAAGATGCCTATATCAGATGACCAGCTTAACCGAATACTACAACAACAGCAAGCACAACTTGATGCACAAATGCGGTTGTTGGAGACTCTGACTCAACAGCTCAACATCCACAGCTCGAGTTCACACGCTATTTCAAGTTCGTCTTGTGATGCAGTTGCTAGCAGCATCCCAGAATTCATCTATGATCCCGAAAATGGAAATACTTTTCTCACGTGGTTCAGACGTTGGGAAGATACATTTAGAACAGAATTCTGTAATCAAGACGATGCGTGGAAGACCCGATTGTTGGTACGTAAGTTGGGAAGCAACGAACATGCACGTTTTGCTGACCATATATTGCCAAAGTTACCTCGAGAGCTCAGTTTCGAGGAGACGGTATTTCAGCTGTCAGAGATATTCGGCGAGTCATCCTCGTTGTTTAGTATTCGATATCGGTGTCTAAATTTGGTGAAACGCGAAGCTGATGAATATGGTGTTCTAGCAGACATTGTCAACAGAGAATGTGAACGTTTCAAGTTACGCTCGTTGACTGATGACCAATTTAAATGCTTAATATTCATCAAAGCTCTTCAGTCACCACAAGATGCTGAGATCAGGACGAGACTTTTAGCTCGACTGGATCAAGACCCAAACGTCACACTCAGAACATTGACAGATGAGTGTAAGCGTCTACAAAGCATCAGACACGACAACGAGTTGATTGAACAGGTAAATCCTAATTTAACCTGCGGTAGTGTAAATACTATTACTAGGCTAAAAGTTCAGAAGCCGGTAACAACTCGTAACAAACCAAGGACTGCATGCTGGTTATGCGGTGATTGGCATTATGCACGATTCTGTCCGTTCAAGAAGCATAAATGTCAGGAGTGCAACAAACGTGGACATAAAGAAGGTCATTGTCCACCGAAGCGTACGTCTCAGCCTAAGAAGAAGCATAAACGTCCTCGACATGTGAAATCAGCCGAGTCTAAATCTCTTTCTTTGGTAGCTGCCTTTCAAACAAACTATGACATTCAGAGAAAGTATGTTACCATCCAGATAAACGGCATATCAGCTCGTCTTCAAATTGACACGGCATCAGATATCACGTTAGTGTCTAGAGAAACGTATAACTTGCTGGGTAAACCGCCAATGAAGCCATCTAAGAAAAGGGCTAAAAACGCATCAGGTGGTGTGCTAAAACTGGTTGGTGAATTACAGTGTGAATTTTCCTTCAATGGAACTAACTGTACAGGAATATGTTACCTAACAGAACGGCCGAACCTTGATCTTCTTGGTCTAGATATGTTAGACAAACTTGGAATAATGGATGTACCAATTAACAGTGTCTGTAACGTATCGTGTTCATCATTGGACACCCCAGTACTTCCAAAGAAGACAGGTGAAAGGTTACTAGAAAAACTGAAAAGAAAGTTTGCCTCTGTTTTTCAGAATAGCCTTGGCCACTGTACCAAGATGAAAGCGCATTTACCAGTAAAACCAGATGCTAGTCGACCAGGAACTTAATCGCTTGCAACAGGCTGGTGTAATCCGACCAGTTAACTACTCTGCATGGGCCGCACCGATCGTAGTGATTAAGAAGGCCAGTGGGACTATACGCATATGTGCCGATTTCTCGACCGGTTTAAATGCTGCATTAGATGTATATCAATATCCATTACCAGTTCCTGAAGACCTGTTTGCCAAGCTTAATGGTGGGACGTGCTTCGCGAAAATAGACTTCTCTGATGCTTATCTCCAAGTGGAAGTAGATGAATATAGTAGAGAGCTTCTGACCATTAACACTCATCGAGGGTTATTTCAATACACCCGTCTACCATTTGGCATCAAGACCGCACCCGCCATTTTTCAGCAAATAATAGATACGATGCTAACAGGTATGCCTGGTATAGCAGCTTATCTAGACGATATCATAGTTATGGGTTCAACTGACAGTGAACTTTCTGATCGACTACACCAAGTCCTTAACCTAGTGTTGGAGTATGGTTTCCAACTACGTGAGGAAAAATGTATCTTCTTCATGCATTCGATCAAATACCTTGGTTTTATCTTAGATAAGAACGGTCGCCGACCAGACACTGCCAACATCGAAGCCATTCAGAAGATGCTTGCACCAACTGATGTTTCTTCATTAAGATCCTTCTTGGGGTTACTCAGTCATTACAGCACATTCTTGCCTGAAATGCATCGAGTGAGAGGTCCCCTAAATGAATTACTATCGAAAGATAAACCTTGGCAGTGGTCAGCAGAATGTCAAGCATCTTTTGACAGAGTCAAATCAATGCTCAGCTCAAAGATTCTTTTGACGCACTTCGATCCCTGCTTGGAAATTGTTGTTGCATCTGATGCCTCTAGTCATGGAGTTGGAGCAGTGATATCTCACGTGTTTCCGGATAAATCAGAAAAGACAATTGCCCATGCTGCTAGATCACTTACTCCAGCCGAGCGAAACTACAGCCAAATTGAAAAGGAAGCTCTTGCAATCATTTTCGCAGTCAAAAGATTTCATAAAATGCTCTATGGTCGTACATTTACTCTACTGACAGATCACAAACCTTTGATTGCAATCTTTGGTTCTAAGAAAGGAATCCCTGTCTATACGGCTAATAGACTACAGCGCTGGGCAACAATGCTCCTGAGTTATGATTTTAATATCAAGTATCAGTCGACAAATACTATCGGTCAAGCTGACGCTCTCTCCCGATTAATTGGAGTTCAACATCCTGGACCAGAGGATATAATCATTGCCTCCACAGCAGTAGACCCAGAAATACGAAGTATAGTGGCAGATGCCATTCGAAACACTCCAGTGTCGTCAGATGAAGTCAGGGAAGAAACGCTTCGAGACCCAACACTACAAGAAGTTAGAAAGTTCCACCTAGAAGGGTGGCCCTCGAAAATCAGTTCCACAGAGCTTCAACAGTTTTACCAGCGAAGACTCTCTCCTTCAATCATCGATGACTGTCTGCTGTTTGCCGAACGTGTCATAATTCCCAAGAAGCTACAACCAGCAGTGCTTGAACAGTTGCATGCAGGACATCCTGGGATAAATCGCATGAAAGCACTAGCACGAAGTTATGTATACTGGCCGCATTTAGACACCCAACTGGAGCAGCTATCCCGTTCGTGTACCAAATGTGCATTAGCAACAAAGGCACCGCGAAAAGCAGAGCTGCAATCATGGCCAATACCACAGTCACCGTGGCAGCGTATACATTTGGACTTTGCTGGTCCACTTCATGGACAAACTTACCTTTTGGTGGTTGATGCATATAGCAAGTGGCCAGAAATTTTTCTCATGGAACACCCTACTGCAAGCTGCACAGTCAGTAAACTACGTCAACTATTCAGTCGTTTTGGAATCCCGGAATTGATAGTTAGTGACAACGGAACACAGTTTACGTCCGGAATCTTCTCACAATTTTGTCGGCAGAACGGAATCCAGCACCTGCGAACACCTCCATTCCACCCCCAATCAAATGGCCAAGTGGAACGCTTTGTGAGTACATTTAAAAATGCTCTAAAAAAATCCAAAGGGGAAGGGACCACTGAAGATATCTTAGAGAGGTTCCTGTTTATTTATCGCTCTACATCGAACCCTCAGACAATTAACGGGGTCTCTCCAGCAGAAGCTCTACTTGGCAGAAAGATACGAACACATTTCGATGTCATCCGTCCTACGCCAGCTATTGAACCCCAACGAAACCTATCGATGGAGAATCAGTTCAACCGACATCATGGGGCACAAAGACGATTGTTCACGGTGGGACAAAAAGTGCTTGCTATGGACTATCGTGGGAAACATCCTACATGGACAGCTGGTCGTATCTTGAGAAAGAAGGGGAGTGTGGTTTACGAGGTGTCAGTTGGCTCGGAAGTTTGGGTACGTCATGCTAACCAATTGAAAGCAACTTCGATAGCCAGTAACAAGATTCAATATCGATTACCTCTTGATGTTCTGCTAGACACCTTTGAAATCAAAACGCCGGGAATAGACACATCAGTTTCTGTGCAAGAAAAGAGTGATACTTCTCTATTGCCTAGACGATGGACTAATCGAAAGCAAAGGCCAGTCACTCGGTTGCAGTTGGACCCTAGCACCAGATCCTACGAATCTGCTCAAAGGGGAGGTGTTAGCGGGACATAGACTAGATTAAAGCATGCTCAATTCACGATTGCTTTGGTGCACGCTGATTGGCTAATTCTTAACCAATCAGCACTAGTCGATAGTTGGAGAACACTCTAGAATCTTCTCATGTAGAAAACTATAAATATACTGACGTTTTTCTCTATTGTGCTTCTGACTTGCTATTTGGAATATAAGCTCTTTCCTGTTCAACCGTGTTTTGATTTGGGGACTTGTCGAGTGAATCGGTGTCCGAGAATACTAAGCAATAGGAATAGCTGGGTCATAACCGTAAGAAGAAAGAGATTATAACACCAGGTGACATGTTAGATACTTTAACGAATCTGAGTGTTTATAAAAATAATTGGGAATGCTTAGCAAAACAATTAGAACGACAGTTCAACGCCTCCTCCCCCAAGATATTTAAAAACAATCGGCGCTTATACTATACCTATTATTATTACAAAAAGTGACGTGAATCATTTCGTTTTATATATGATTTTTCCTCATTTTCCGATTTCTCTAGATTGACCTTTATTTCTCCACATACATAAATGTGTGATTATATTCTATGGAATGTATTGCGTGAATATACTATATCACATAGTTCTGACAAACTTTGTTTCCTCATTACACTAACTCGGTCGTCAGAGGGACCGATTACTAAAGAAAATAAACAAATGATAATATTTAGTAGGGTTTTTAATTGCTAAGATATCATAACAACGTTCACATTTCGATCGTACCTACATTTTACGTGCCGGTTTCCACTTATTTCTTATTATTTCCAATAATCAAGGTTAGGTTTGCGCGAGGTCATATCTTTAAACTTAATTTCAGTGAAAACTGTAGTCCGATGGTTTAGACGATAAGCCATCACAAATGGATAGTGTGTTCATACGAAATTTATCCACATTTCGGATCTTGGGCTCGAAAGAATGGGCAAATTACCAGCTCAGTCACACTATACATTCTATTAATATTATCAGCTAAATATGGAGCGGTGGCAAATTTTTAAAATACCCGATTTTCAATCAGTAGGTCCCACATTTGAACCTCGCTTTACCTTTAGGGATTCTTGTAGATCGCCTGTCCTCATCCAAAAAGTATGAGTTAAAATTAAGTAAATAAACTTGTAATTCGTGAATGAGCAAAATTAATCATATGTTACACGTACACTTCCGAGACATAAAATGGTAGAAAACTTACTAGGTTAGTAAACCCATTAGACACAGTTTTGACGCGAAAACTCAAAAATTACTGTTATATACCATATAGTACATGAAAAAAGGACTAAAAAACACACATCATGGTCAGACTAGGACTATTAGTTTCCAAATTTTCGACCCGATTTCGAATTAGTTGAGACGCTAAAGCAAACTATCAAAGAGTGACAATCTGGGGGCTTTTACAGGGAAATTTGGTTTCAAGATTAATTGTCATTTACACAACACGAATCTATCTAGTTTACTCACCAGTAATTGCACTCTTCCAGAAACGTGAAGAATAATCTTGGTTGACTTCAAACTTATCGTCAGTAGTTTGTTCATTTTTCTGGAAATGATTTTCTACATCCAGCTCAAAGTTAGGCACACTTGTATCAACATCCTCTTCCTCCAACTGATTCTCTTCATTTGGAGTTGCACTGTCCAATAATTCAGAAGTATGGATAGCTAGGTTAGATTTTGAGCGGGACCTAAGTAAATGACTACGCGATGAGCTTTTGCGACTAATAGTTGAGTCTTCTGAGGCATGTTGTTTTGAATAACTAGGAGTTGCAGTGGCTGAAGGAGGATCGGAAGATGATACATCTATAGACACCGGACTAGTGCTATGCGAACAAGGGACTGAGTGTGGATGTGGAAATACAGCGAGCTATGTAAAGAGACGGGATATAACATCAATCTTGTAAAATTTGCACCAAATTTCATTTATATTATTAGAAATAAACTAAGATAATTTATACAATAAATCATTCCGTCAATTGAGAGTGTGATTTTGAGGATTGAAAGAGATTTTAAAGGACAAAATCAAAATTAAATATGATCGTTGACACAGTTTATAATGATAATTTGACTGAGAAACAATGTACAGCTTCGTGCGCTAGTCTATAATCTAAACCAACTGTGTAAAAGATAAAGAAATAACTTTACTGTCTAAACTAATCGATTGTAAAGCTAGATCTTAAAATCAATAAACCAGATTTTTGACCCGAAACTAGTCATTGAATGGACACGAGTGATATAAACGTTTACCCCTGAATTCCAATTGAAGCTAAATTGGTCAATGAATTTAAGATGAGTATTTAACTAGAAACGAGTCTAAATCGTGTTAGACCGATCTAAAAGTTCGTGAATTATGTGATTAGAGCGAAAATATTGGTATAATTTAACGACAAACAGAGCATCATGATATTTTCAATAGAGTTAATTATAATACAATATACCCATAAATCTGCTAGATGGACATGACTTAAACGACGACAGTGCGTCAATCTTTTTCCCGGAATTGTCTTACGTCTAGAATAAAACTTTCTGTCAAAACAATGATTTTAACTGGAAGAACAAATAATATATAAATTAAACACTGATAATTTATCCAAATAACTCACACAACGTAATGGAGGTGTATCGACTTTGTTTTTATCTACCAATGCATCAATATCTGACGATGAACGAATGGTTGGGTAATCAGCTGATGATACTGGTCTAGTTCCTCCTGTAGAAATATCATTATTTCCAATATTTAAGCAGAGAGATATGTGAGCAGCACGACGAAACTTCTTAGCTGGAGGTAATGATACCGATTCCTCCCGTAATGAAGCTAAACTTGAAGGAGTAACAGTGTGTCGAATGCTTTTTAAGCGCCCAGATTTACCTCTGGAAATGTTGCTACAGGAAACTGCAACAGAGTCGCCGTCTTTCCCGTAAGGGTTTGCAGGAATTCCGTATGTAGCTAAAAGTTCATCTAATGACATTTGACTTTCCTAAAATCAAAAGAGTAAACAAATTGCCAAGCACTAAAGATTTTCCTTACTACCTATACACATGTAAATAGTTAACGCAAAAATGAATATCGAAATAAGGGGAAAATAAAAACATGTATGAAACTTACATCTACTATACGAACTGTATGGAAAAACAATACAAATATTCAATGTAAGTTTTATGCAGATGCAGAATCTTACATCAGGAGGGGCTAAATGTGACGCCGTCCAAAATACTGAAGGTATGCATTTTTAGAACACTCACTAAAGTTAAGCTGATAATGTATATCTTTCATAATATGACTTTCAAAAATTGTGTAAGATATAACAGGGGTTAACTGGTATTTAAGTACTCTACCATATAGTGATAAAAGACAAGTTAAAGTCGAGTGAATTTCGTGTACGACTGACTGACTTTCGATAAGAACGCATACAAGCAAACCCTACATAACCCACACTTCTAAGATTTTAAATCAAAACCGATGTTATCATTGGATTATTTAAACCAACTTTATATATGCAGAATGGGGCTGTGTATATGATATAATCACCAGTGCTAACGTACCTAGGTATAATGCAATACATTGACTCCCAAGAGAAATTTTTTCCAATGGTGTACACATTCCTTCTCGATGGATTTGATAAAATATGGGAACTAAGTCAACACTCATTTATAGTTTTAAAACAAAAGCTAGCAACAGTAGGATCATCGTTAATCTATTTTGAAACCCTATACTTCAAAGGAAGTACCATGATTGAATTCAGAATATTATGAAGTTTAAAAGCAAAAAATTCTCATTTGGTTATTTTTCACACTAAATAAGTTTAGAAATGCTGTATACAATATAATTACGCCACGAAATATTTTACACTGCAAATTAGATTAACTCACTTTCATGAGACTTGATACTTCTTCCTCGTCAGCAGCATCTTCCTCTGGAGGAATACTGTCATCATCTTCTACCGAAACATCCCGTTCGTCAAAATCACTATCGCTCATCCCATCAGCTTTACGTACGGTGCTATCTAGACAAGGCCCAGGATTGTCTGCAGATCGATTAGTTGTTTCAGTCGTGCTGGGATTATAATCTGTCTGGGGTTCAGACGACTCTGAAGCAGGTAAAGTTGGTTCCCGATTTTTTTCAATTAACATTTGTGAAATCCAGGTTTAAAAAGATATTTACATAAAGTTCTGCAACATACAAAACCAAATGACTCGGGGGATCAAATATACTACCGTATACATCGAAACAAAACCACCGAACGTCAGTGATAAAGATGTGTCATCTGGATGGAACCATTATTTCCAAAAAATTAAGTTCCCATCTCAAAACATCAAACATCCAGGCTAGTTGTCTGCCGTAACCTGTTTTACGCTAGTAATGTAAATTTCTAACAACGAATTAGCACATTTTAGCAACGTTAGATGCTTGAAATGGTTCCCATAAATAGCTTACAAAGGTAGAGAAGCTGATATCGGTATATGCACGAGGTCAAATTTATTTGTTGCTCTGGGTTTGTTTTAACATTTGTTTTTCCTTAAATACTCTGAGATTTAATAAGTGATTTGAGCAGGGCTTTTGGTCGACTCAATCCAGTATGTACTGGAGAAAACTGCCAGTCAGTTGCGATCTCCATATACAAAATAATAGTTCGTAAAACAAAGCTTAGAGCACAGTGGTTACATGCCTTGAGCTTTCAGTCGGAATGCGGTTTATGAACTATTTGGGAAATATAAAATGAACCTGCCTCTGGCCATTTTAAACATCAGGCTAACGAAATGATGTATAGGCACAATTTGTGGATGTTTCATTTCAAAGGAACTACGCAACTCATACTTTGATTCAGTCTCGCTCATCTCTAAGTGCGACTGAAACAGTGCTTCTATGTGATGCACCTACTGAGCCAGGAGTTTCAAGACAACATGTAACGCTGTCAGATGAAAACAATAAGCAAGATTGTGCCTTTGGTTGGTAATGCTCTCACATGGCCACGCGTATGTAGCCATCGACAGGGAAGTCCTACTCATTGCCTTCTCGTGGTGGGGGTGTTGTTTACGAAAGTGAGGGCGAAAAGCGAATCTCCGGCGCTTTAACCGGGTTGGTGGACATGGAGAGTCCACCTAGGAAGTTGGGAAACCCTGATTCCAAACCAATGGTGCACATGGGCTCCAGTATCCTAAAGGAACTAATCGTTCGTCACCGGCTACCATGGAACTGCATCT